TGGCCATTTTTTGAACATTTTGATGATGGTACCCCTTATCAAAAATGCGAAATTTGGGCCAAAATTGATTTTCCCAAAATCGAAAAATTAATGATAGGGGTGGTTAGTATTGGTCGTTAGCAGCACAAAACAGTCTTTCTTTTGGCTGTACGACTTGTTTTGACCGATCTAGAGCTAAAAATCTTAAAATAATATTGCACATTTCTGTTAAAAATCGGATTCCTGATTGTTTAGCCCTTAAAACAGAGCTCGCACCAAAAAATCAGAACAATAATGATAAAAGAATATAAAGGGGTGTTAAGTTTCGGTAGTTAGCTGCGTAAAACAGTCATTGATTTAGCGATGCGGCTTGTTTTGACAAAGTTAGAGCTAAGAAACTGCAAAAAAGCCGGGCCCTCTGCTGTCAACCGACGTATACGTGATTTTGGACACAAAAAATCAGTTTTTTAGCCATAGCATAGCCAAAAATGACCCAAATGAGGAATGTAATACCTCGTAGGGCTCGTAATTTGATTGCTTTGATTCCCAATCGATTTGCGGTAAAATCTGGAAAACTTAATTTTTGGCCATTTTTTGAACATTTTGATGATGGTACCTTATCAAAAATGCGAAATTTGGGCCAAAATTAATTTTCCCAAAATCGAAAATCGAGTGATAGGGGTGGTAAGTGGTGGTCGTTTGCGGCACAAAACAGTTGTTTTTTTTGGCTGTGCGACTTGTTTTGACCGAGCTAGAGCTAAAAACCCGAAAATACTATTGCGAATATCTGTTAAAAATAGGTTTCCTGATTTTTCAGCCCTTAAACCGGAGCTAGCAAGAAAATATCAAAACACTAATGATAAAAGCAAGTATAGGGCCTTAAAGTTTTGGTTGTTAGCTGCATAAAACAGTCACTGTTTCAGCCGTGCGTCGTGTTTTGACAAAGTTAGAGCTAAGAAAGGGCAAGAATCTGGGCTCTAAACGACGTATTCTTGACTTTGGGCTCAAAAAAATCCGTTTTTTAGCCATAGCACAGCCAAAAATGGCCCAAATGAGGAATGTAATACCTCGTAGGGCTTGTAATTTGATTGCCATGATTCCCAATCGATTTGCGGTAAAATCTGGAAAACTAAATTTTTGGCCATTTTTTGAAAATTTTGATGTACCCCTTATAAAAATGCGAAATTTAGCGGAAAATTTAATTTCTCAAAATCGAAAAACGAGTGATAGGGGTGATTAGTGTTGGTCGTTGGCAGCACAAAACAGTTGTTCTTTTTGCTGTGAGTCTTGTTTTGACCGAGTTAGAGCTACAAGACCGTACACCGAATTACAAATTTCTGTTAATCAGAGCTCGCACCAAAAACTCAGAATAGTAATCACAAAAGCAAGTATAGGGGCTTAAATTTTGTTGTTAGCTGCATAAAACAGTCACTGGTTCACCCCTAATCGAAAATGCGAAAATTTTTTTCTTAGATTTTATTCTCAAAATGACAGAGTTATGTACGTAACGAAGCCAATAATGTTACGAATATGGAATGGCACATCTTGTTGAGCTTGTTCTCTAATTCCTAGTCGAACTGCACTCACAGTTTGAAATGTCAAATTTTAGCCCTTTTGTTTTCGAAGAAATAGATGATGTTACCCCTATCAAAAAGAGAAAGATTTTTTTCTAAAATTTGTCAGAATATTATTAGGATTGTTTAATGTGGATACCCGAAACACTGAGTATGATAGCTTGCAACTCTGACAAATTCATGAAGGACACCGGTTTATGTAATCAGACGGAAAGGTTACTTAAGTTGGCAAGCTTGAAAGCTTAGGGTTTCATTTTAACTTTAAACTTAAACCCCCACTAAATATTTTCTGCCCTCGCTACTGTCAGCTAGGAATCCACACCGACAAGGAGGCCTGGAGTTGTGTCCACTGGCATTGCATGTCCATCCAACCAAGCTCATTCAACTGGTGTGCAATCGCCGGCACCCATTGCTCGATGTAATGCACCTTGGCCATAAAACCGTCCCCTGCAGCAGGCTCTGTGTGTGTAGCTTCATTAGCCCGTGGCTGATACGCAGCGGGTAAATTGCTCGTGAAGTTGCCGGACAACGGCCATCGACCATCGACCATCAGGTTATATCTTGGGACCTGAATCTTTGACTCAATTACCGGGCATAGAGCATGTTGTTGATTTTGCCAGCTGCAGTTGACTTCCCTGGCCCATTTATGCATATGAATTTATTCAAATCAGAGCTCGAGTAGAAGGACAGCTGGTCGACTCCTCGACCAGAGGTATTTGTTGTGGCGCTGGCGGCGCTAAACTATTTTACATTTAGAGCAGAGCAGGCCAAAGTTGTTGGGCATTCCTACGAAACCGGAGCCGATGTGTAAGCCACGTTAGGAGCCAAAACCAGGAGCCTGGCCCAAATACGTGGCATCCACTTGGTTGGTTGCCCGGGGTGCGCGCGTGTGTGTGTCAGCCGCTTTGTTCACATGTTTTCACTTTGTGCTTAATTTGCATTTAAATGGTTTTTGCACTTAGGCTATTTCCCGTGTAAATGAGCTTTGTTGGCTGTTGTTCAGCTGGCGAAAAGGCAACGCAAAAAACATACTAAAGGCCGAGCTTTTGTTTTGGCGCCGGTTTTACTTGCATTTTGGCCAGGACGCGTGTCTTGCCATCCTAAAACCTAATGGAAAGGCATTCGACGGTCTAAAGTTCTTGTGGCTGAGTGCTGGAAATTGCCTGGGGGCATGCCCAGTGTGATGTTGTTTTTTTACAGCAGCAAATTTCTTATGACCTCAGGTAATCTAAAGTTTCTAGTTTCGCGTTTAAACTTCCATTTTTCCAACAATCAGAGTTTCCCTGAATGAGAACATGGCCTTTTGTGTTTTCTATCATTCTTCACTTGGTTGCACTTGCAATTCATAATTTTTTTGTTATTGCAATTTATTTGTAGTTCTGTTTTAATTGCAGTAGCAACAAAAATTACGTTTCCGTCAAAAACCTGACCTGCATTTACATAAACAAATACGTCCTGGAAATAGAAACAAATATTTGGCTTCTAGCATTTATTCCATTTTCCATGCAAACTGAAAACCCATATTTGTTTAGTTTGTTCATGGCGCAGGTCGAGTTCTGTCTGCCCGATATCATCTTTTTTTGGTTGCCCATAGGGGGGAAGTATTTTTCCAAGTGGGTTTGGGTATTGGTAAATGGCCAGAAGTTACCGTAAGTGAAGGCCAGCCAAATAATTTCACAAATTAGCGGCTCCCACACTTTTTATGACTTAATGCCATAGACTAGATACGAGTATATATAGTATGCCAGTCGCTCACAAGCAAACAAGTCGGTCAACCATGGCCATGTTCCCATTTAGCGCAGTGTCAACTTTTGTGTTGTGGTCACTAATGATGACAGGCTGGCAGTCAAAGCCCAAGTCCAAACACACATAGAAAACAAAATGGTGGCTCAGTGCAGGTCTGCAGTCCTTGCTGTGACAATGATGTGGCCCTGTCCCGACAATTTCCAGGATGGGGAGGAGGACGACAAAAAAAACAAACACAAACTGATTTGATTGTTTGTAATTAAAAGTGGACGGACGTGGGGAAAATTAAACGGCCATGCGCAGGAAACGCGGACAGGATACGCCTTCAGGCTCTGATCCTCGCTGGCGGACATAAAACTTTATGACCATGTGCCATGACGGTGCTCCTCACACCGTCGTTAATTTAAAAAGTAGGAACCACATAAAACTTCACCACGTGCCGTAGATGAAGATACTGTCTGTGTGTGTGTGTGTCTGTGAATGGACGTCTTAAATGGTTAATTAGCTTAAATAATTCCGTGTTCATTTATTCCATCAAAACTTAAATGCCACTCGGAACGTCTGGAGGCAATGACAGGTCTACAGCCTAAGGGCTTTGTCGGCTCTTGAAGTCGGAATAGGAACGGCACAGGATACCTGTCAACATGGATATTAGTGGGAATGAGTAATGCGCTGTCAGGGCCAAAAGAGCGGAAGGAGTTGCATGAATTAGAGCGGATTGGCCAAGAAGGCAGTGCTAACTAGGGGTGGAACCGGTCTAGGGAATTTGCTTGGTATACGTTAACCATAAATTACAATATCGTAGCTGGACACATACATGTATATCGACAGGGTGAGAAAATGTAAATTGTCATCAGTTTGATTACCTTCATACAAAATCGAACAGAAAATATTTTCATTTCATTACCTAATTGTGACAAATACACTTTAAATATATTTTCTAAACTTAATTTCATTTAAATATAACTAAAAAAAACATTTTCTTTGGCTCACTTTTCTCTGACTAACCTAACCCCTACGAAGAAGAAAAGAACAAATATTTGTCAAGACGAAATTATAAATAAAATGATTTTTTCATAAGCCAATTAAAGACAATTTGTTAATTTGTTAATTGAGTGTACAGGTCGTAATAATGTTCTAAATGTCACCGAACGACAAACTATCATTAGGTCTTAAATTGACTGTTTATGATATAACTCGATAATGGAAACTATAACACAAATTGTTTTTTTCAGAAACCAATTACAGACAATTGCTTGGGTAATTAAAAAAAACAAGACCATCGGACATCGGACGTCTGACGATGAACGACGGACGTGCCGTTGGCATAATGGCTGAATGTCCTGCGGCCTAGCCACATTTAATGCATTTAAAGTGACTGCTTTGGCCGCCCGCAAGCAAAGTGGAAGGAATGGTTCCGAATGGCAGCCTGTTGATTCAGGCGCTTGTCAGGATTCCGCACTTGGCAGGGAACTGTTGCCGTAGCGCAACAACTGGCCGGATAAGTGAGCGAACCGAAAGCTCTAACGAGCTTTGGTTCTCTCTCTCTCGCTTTTGGTTCGGAAAATTGACTGGAAAGGCTCGACTCCCACTAAAAAAGAGGGGGCCGCAGGTGTGGGAGTTGCCCGAGTCGCCGACTTTCCAGGCTGGCGGTGCGTGTGTCGCCTGCCACTTCAGTCTAGGATAAACGCTTGCGACGAGCACAACAAGTGCGCGCATGCAAAAATCAACGGAGAAAGTGGTTTAATAGCCCAAGTCAGAGTCAGAGCAACTGCCTCAGCCCCAAGAGTCCACTGTGTGTAGTGTAGTGCAATCGAATGAAAGTGAATCCCTGACGAGAGTGCCAGTGACAGTGAGAGTGAAAGGCTGGGCAGGACACCTGCCGGCGAGGTCCTTGCTCTGCGAGTGCGCGCGATCCGCAGCACTTTTTAAATAATTAGCTGCGCGCGTTCAATTAAATATGTAACAACTCCCTTTCCCCAGTTCGTAACTGCGATCGATAATTGCTTAGGTTTAGGGTTTGGTGGTGGTGCCAAAAGTAGAACCCCCAATTTCCAGGACGAGCCACCGACAAATTATTGCTATTTATTTTTGTGAAGATAATCAGATCGCTCAAGTGCTAGAGTTTTCATATTTCAAGCGCGTCGAGTGCGTATTTTGGATTTCAATCTAAGGCTAAATCAGGCTAAAACCCCATCTGCCACTGCAGCTGGAAACAACCAATTCGGAAATATGAATAGCTTTTGGATAATCGCTTTACTCTTAGGATTACAGCAAACAAAGCCAATAAGTAAGTGTACTTTTCCTGGGAATTTCATGTTTATTTTTTCCATTTCTGGTGGCATTTTCGAATGCTTTTCTGATTATTAGTTTGGGGTACACTTAAAAAACTCACTTGTGGTGGACTTTCTTAATCTATATCATAAGAACAATATTGATTGTGAAAAAAAGTAAGAATATTTCTTCATGTGAATTAAAAAGTGGACATTGAAAGTTGATTATTTTATAGATAATAATAATATCAGCAAATCTATGGATAATGAAATATTCCCAAGTTGTATTATTATGGAACATATTTTCCAAGTTCCACTCTAACTTCTGGCTAACTTACCAAATAATTTTTTTTTTATGTGAGCAGTTCAGAGAAGCCCTTCTTGTTGATAATCCCAATACACCAAGGGAACTTTATTTTTAGAAAGTAATATAGGCAGATCAATAATGTAGTTAAGGGTTAGTTTGAGTTGTTTAAGTTTGCCGAACAAAATTATTTATAAATTTTGGCATTTAACTATTTTATGCATATGCAAAAGTGCTGAAAGGAAACCTCTGGTTGGCTAATTTCAAAAAAAAAGGGCAGCCGGACACCGGATGGCACTTCTTGGCCCTCCGAAAAAGCCGAAAGTCACGCACTGGACGCGTTCTCAGCACCTGCCACCTTTCGCTGCTGGCTTTTCCATAAGGCTCATGAATAATTCATTGGGCACGCTTCGATTATTTACTTCATAAACATTCCGCCACGGTCCAGTCTGCTCCTTTAAAGGGGGGGTTGGAGTGGGCAATGTCCTGAAAGTTTACAGGCTGTGCATGCTCTTAATTTTAATAAATTGCAAATTGCAAAGTAAATGGTAAACTGTAAATTGCTGGCTTATCAGCAGCGAAGAGCACTTGCACTTGCAACATGCAATCCCTGTTGACGTGTTCAATGAATTGCAAATGTCACTGCTAATGGGAACTGCCTTTAGCAGTTTGATTTGATTAACGAACCAATAAGCGGGCGAAGTATGCCACAAAATTCAATTTCATTACAGCTTCATTTCGGGCGAAAGTTAATCAAAAACCCCAATGAGCAGCTCGTAAAACACGGAGGAGCGGTTCAAGGCTCCTCGGCTGGATCTATTACACGTTGTCGCTGGCAACGTAATTGCTGAAAAATTAATACGCCGAGGAGCTGCTGAAGTGGGAGCTGGTATAAAAAAGGGAGCAGAAGGAGCCTCCATCCAGCTCTTCGGTGATCATCCCGTCGTAAAGCACGTTTTTGCAATTTACCCCGCCTGTTGTGAGGAGTCCTCCAAGGCAGCGTCATATAAAATGCGCCGATGGCACAGTGAAATCAATTTCAAGTCATTAAATGAAATGAATCTTTATGGAGCGACTTTCTCCGCCCGCACAGATTAGCAGCTGTATGGAGTGTGTAGGGAGTGTGTGTGGGTGTGTGTATTGGACTCTTAACAATTTAAACACGTTGCCTGGTCGGAAAAGTGTAATCGAAACTGCCCTCAGATACTTGATGCGATTATTATTGATTTTCTGAGCTGAAATTGTTGTGATTGAATTATTTATGTGGGCGTTGGTGGTTAGATTTAATGGCGGAGCGAAGTGGAGTTCATTAGGAAGACCCTCGCTTGATGGCCTAATTGAGTTGCCGACTGGCTGTCGAGCACTTATTTACAGAAGCAACAAAAGGCGCACGTGACGGGCATACTTGCGCACAAAGGATTAATCCAGCCAAAGGATGCCAGCCCACAGTGTTTGCCCAGCTCTTCAAGGTGGATTTAATTTTGAAATTAAAGCAAAACATAAATCAATTTGACTAACTAAACAGCTAGGCACCCAACCCCACAGCCACCACGACACTAACATTTGAATAAATATTGTGCCAGGCCACTTGGGCGACAGGGCCATGACGACAAGAGAAGGAGCAACAGCCGCAGGTCCTGGCTGGCCTTCGCGTCGTATACTTAATGTGGCCACATGTCCATACAAATGTAATAATTGCGAGCGCCGCCAGCGTCTGTGGCTTGCTCCAACGGAGGCGAGCATGTGCACTCAGTGCAACCTCAATGGCAGGGCTCGTCCTGCCCCCAGGACAACTGAAGATGTAAATGTATGGGGACAGGCGGAGAAGGACGATTCCGAGGACGAGGATGTGTTCAGTGTACACACATCACGCCGACGACAGGCGACGACAGACGGGGAGATGGACGCCCGTAGCCTGTAGCAGACAAACTGACTGCGTGGCTGTTCCTGGCTGGTTCCGAGCTGCCTGCTGCCAGGATGCCAGAATGCCAGGATGCCAGGCTGCCAGGCTGTCTGCCATATGACATGTGAGGACTTTGACAAAGCAAGCTGCTGCTTCCGCCCCCGAAGCTACAAGTACTGACTTGTGCAAAGACGCTTTTGGCATTTCTAATGAAAGTTTTCTCGGCACTGGCATTGCACTTTAATGGACTCTCTCACCGCACACACGAAAATATAGTCATAAAAATAAAAATAAGAGACCAGGAAAGAAGGAAGGAAAAAGTTGGCCTACCAATCGAAATAAATATTGTAAACGGTCTATAAATTGTTGCTCTGCCATCGGGCAAAGTTTTGACCCGCCTGCTGCTACTGCTTCTCATCCTGCTGCTGCTGTCGAAGTTAACTTGAGTGGCAGAAATCAGATTAAGCCAAATATTATACATGGCAGCCGTAATGTATGCCGCACACAATTTGCAGGTGCGAGCAACATACAGCAACTCGGCCCACAGACTTGAGCAATTTTGCACAAATTTGGCGCAAAGACAATCAAAAAGTTATAAAACAAGCTTCGGCGAAACAAAAGCAAGGCTCGAGAGTTCCTCAAGAGTCGAATGGCCGCAGGCGGAATGTTGGATGTTCGCTGTTGGATGCTGGATCCTGGATAGGTGTCTCTGAAGGCGTGTGTGTATCGGGCTGTAAAAACTTTGGCCAACTTTCGTTTATTCCATTGTTTTTTGCCTCTGCTCCTGCCTGCCTGCCTACCAGTCAGCCTAACATTGCGCATACGCCGCGTGGTCTTATTATCAGCCGCATCAGCGGCGCCGTAAAGTAAATGCAAAGTGTGCAAAGTCTATAAACGAGCGTCAAACTTAAAAGCCCCAAGGTGGCGTCGCCTCGCCAAGGACGACAAGGACTTAAGCTTGTTTTTGGCCCGCCCGAAGGAGCAGGCGGCAGACAAACAGAGAAGAAAGAGAATATGGGAAGAATGAACAGGATAGGTAATCGGGATGGGAAGCCAGCCAGGTTTATCGGCGGGCAATACACTCCTCTGGCCTATCAAAAAGTTGCTCACACGACAAATTGTCACAAAGACAAAGAGGAAAGTAGGCACCAGCAGCCCGAACAAGGAAAAGGAATTTTATATTTCAGCGTTTTCTATTATTTGTATTATTTATGGTGCTCCTGGCAATGTCGTTAAACGGGGGCCCATTAAGAGGCCTCCAATAAATAGGTGGAGTGTGTGTGCGGTTGACAGATGCCAGCTGCTCCAAAGGGGGGAAAAGAAAATAAAAAAGCAGAACGGATCACAGCAAGCAAATAAAAAAGAAAGCTTTCGCAAAACAATTATGCCTAAGTGTAGGATCTAAAATATTTATGAAGCCAGATTTTGCACTTCCTTAAAAAGCAAAGCGAGGCGAAGCAAAGTCGATTGTCAGCTATTTTTGGCTGTTCAAATTTTGTCACAAATAAACGTCAAAGGCACTAAAGAGACTTGGAAAAACTATTAAGATGTCAGCAAATAATTATGCATGAAAGCAGTTGCATAAATCTGGTCGCCTCTTATTGCCAAATCCGCCACTAAAACGAACTGAGCTGGAAACTGCGAAGCCATCGAGGCGTTGCCTTTCGAGAATGGCCATAATGCGGCACTCGCAGCCAAGAGCTCGGAGGAGTATGTCTGACTGCCAGGACGGAAGGCACTTTATCAAAAGGGATTTGCCAACTGGCCTGGGCAAAGTTGGCAGGCGTCGGAGATATAGCTTTTGCATTTGCCTTCCACTTGGTCCGGTGCCCCTGACAGTTTTTGTAATAACAATGACCGCAAAAAAATCGGAATCGATTTGCCATTTTTCACCAAATTTATGAGTTTATGAGCTACCGGCTTCACTTTTCTCACTGACAGTACAGCGCGACCGCTCTTTTTCATTAAAGTCGAAACTGATGACATTTATATTTTATTGCCCCAACCATCTCTCCCTCGACCTTAATCCTTGATGAGTCTTAATAGGAACGCTCACAGCAGGAAACAACTGCAGCATAAATCTCGGGCTAGGCAAACCCTAATCAGAGAGACTCGACCCGAAATAAATTTCAGGAAAATCCATAAATTGGACTGGCACACGCAAGAAAAAATAGGCCACTGAAATCGAAATGTAAATTGACCAAGTTTGCCCACTCAGTGACAAGAGTCAAGACTCGAATTTGAGACCCAGCGATGCGTTAATTATTCAGGCCCACATGCCAAGAGCCACAAAGTGCTGGTCGCCACATTCATCATTATCCACAGTTTGATTTTTGCCACAAAGTTTTTGGCCGCAAAACTTTTGACAAAGGTCGAGAGCAGTTTAAAGCAGGACCAAAGTCGTCAAACGCTGCCGGCGATTCCTGCAAAATAAATGAAATGAATGATCCTGGCTGGTTGGCTCCCTTCTTCCTGGGGTTTTAAGGGATTTGAGCGGAAGGCAACCGGATTCAAAGACCAAAGTGATGGCGCATAAATTTCTGGACCCGGATTCCGAAAGAGCTTAGGCCATGAGCGGTTGGCCGTGTGGTCAAGCAAAACAAATGACAGCAAAACGCATAAATTGAACCTGTCCCAAGCCATTGAAATCACAGAAGTACAGCCACGCCAGAGTTCAATCCATAGTCATTAGGCATTGGGTTATGGCCTAAGCTTCTTTTGTTGGTTTCTGGGAAATCAGTGACTGGAGGCCACACGGAAAACAGATTCAAGACTCCTTTGTTGCTGTTGCTCAGCCATAACAATTTAAT